AGCTTCTCCATTTCTACAACCTCCTGCATATATTTCATAGAATTTTCCCTCATCTTAGCAATGAGCTTCTGCCAAGCAAGTCTTAAAGATGTCTGAAGTTGGTGATAATGTTCTGAGTGATGTTTCAGGATAGTTACCCCCACCTCCTCAAGATAGTCCTACACCTTGTCAATGAACTTAATTGGTATGCTTGAAATGGATTCCACTTTACTGTGTAAACGTGTAAGAAAAACAGTGCGTGGCATGAAGTTTGGAAGTCCAATCCGCTTGGTTTCTTCTAGCACCTTAATTTCTTCCATCAAAAACTTCTCTTCAGCACTACTTTCAGAACCCTGGCGGAGATCATTAGAGTACAGATCCAGCATTTCAACAAGGCGAGCAGTGCAATGCATTTGTTTGTCATCAGGGTACTTGTCAAATTCTCCCTTCAGAAGAATCTTGCATAGGGACTCCCTTGTCAACCCAATGACATCCATGAATGCAGACATAACATCAACCGAGGAGGTGAGTTTTCTGGGAAATTTTTCCAGCTTGGAAAGCTGAGAATCAAGTTTGTCATTGATCTTCTTAACAATCTCAGGCAATATTTTGGAAATACTAGCCGCTTGAAGCTGAACCAACTTCTCTGCCAAAACCGGAATACCAACAATGGACTTGTCAATGTTGGACAAAAGCTTGTGTGTCTTGAATAGTTTGGCTTCTTTTTCACGAGCTTCTTCGTAGGACTCATCTCCAATGCGATTTCTTACACACACATAGCCAAGACCGATGTTCACATCATCAGCATTTACTTTCTCACACAGTCCATCCGGGAACATATCAACTTTTGTGACAACAGCAAGAGTCCTCGCTCCCGTTTTGTCAACAGTCTGTGACATCCTAATGGACTCACAAGTTGAGAAATCAACAGCGGCAGATAAAACATTGAGAATAATGCTCTCCTCAGGCTTTATATACTCCATAATAGTATTCACAACCTGGTCATATATATCCAAAGGTTGACCTTGAACAGGCACTCGCGTAATGCCGGGAAGATCGATCATCGTGAGATCAGGAACGCCATTCTTCTTCACGATAAGAGTTAATGGGGTGTTCGAAATTCCTTTCCCAGAGCCGGCAAGTTCATCTGTCGCAGCACAAATGGCTTCAGAGACGTGAGCCTCATCCGTGGGCACATGTTTGTCATTATACTCCAGCTCCAACTCTGGTTTGGGATGTGAGTGGTTTTGGAGCCTCATGACCAAGGGTACCCTTGTGCAGATACCTTGTCCACGGGGCAAGTTGATTCCAGCCAGAGATTCTAAGACACTGGACTTTCCAG